GAAAAATATTTTAATATTTTTTTTTTTTTTTTTCATTTCGCGCAGTCTAGCTATTGTTTACGTGTTTAGAGAATTTCATCCAATACCTACTAAATAAAATATTAGTACTGCGTATTTATTCTTCATATGGGTATGCTTTCTTTATTCAAACAGAAAATATATAACAACGACTTGGAAATAACAACGCTTTGGAAGACTGTTAATTTAAGCAAAATGCTTAAGTTCATTGTGCTGAACCTAGCCTTAGTTATGTTAGTTATGTTTACAAGTGCGGCATTCTGCATCATGAAATAAACTTAACTATGATCACCATTACGCATGAAGTTTAGCCCTCAAGGGATTATATTATTTTTAGTGTTTAACATTTTTACGAGGACTGTATAGACTAATGTTTTATGTATCGAAGTCATTTAGTCGAATACTCAATCAGCAAGGAACAGAAAATCTAATCAACCGGTTCGGCAATTTCCTGTTGCATATTAAGTAGAAAATTTTAAATCTCAATCGCAAGCTACTTTTTTTAGCTTCATTTGATGTAATGAATGCGTGGAACATTTATGTTTCAGATCCTGGGAAAGGGTTAAAGTATAAAAATATCATCATAGCACCATAGACAAATATATTCTGATTATTGCATACAGATGTTTCAAGTGATATGACAAAATTCATCATTAATATAATAAAAAAATAGGTTACACATAATTTATTAACGCATTAGGATTTCAAAAAATTTAAAAAGTTACCCATCCATAATAAAAGGCGGTAATATTCTTGCGATGCTTGATTTTTTCCCATTTCAGCTTAAATGGCTATTACACGTAGCAGAGGTTTATATTCACAGCTGTAAGATTTTGATAAACGTAACTTCTATTACAGGGTGGCTGGCACACAAAAAAAATTCCAACTTTATTTTGACCCTTATGTACTCCTAAGCACATTGCGTCAGAAACATAGTATCTATATTACCATGTTATAGCCACAGGCGGGCTACGTTTTCTGTTTATAATCTTCCATGTTGCAAATACTGGCACACTATTTATGGCACATGCAAAAATTTACAATAAATTTACTAAGAAGAGAAAACTACATGTATTCAGAAAAAACTTTTTAAAATGATTCCTTTTTACATATAAATATTTACATATGCCGACACATTATGTCTCATAAATTGAATAAGAAAAATTGATTCTGTTTATTGTCTATTTTTTAGTTAAATCGATTTTGAAGCTTTGTCATTGATTACAGTTGCCTTAATATTAATTTTTATTGTGCGTTATGATGAGCATTTTGCTTTCTCTTTTATTTCATCGATATCATATTTTCTGGAACTAAGTATACAGAAGCCTAAAATGTTGTAGTTAAATTCATACGCTTAATATTTGTATCCCAGAAAACTGCGTTGAACATCGAAAAATGGCAAAATGCAGTATATTCTTTAATTCCATCTAATCAACATTGATATAAAATACCCAAAAATATTTATTAGACTTTGGTGAAACAAATTAGTTCTAGAAGCCTAAAATGTTATAGTTAATTCCATATGCTTATCCCGTTTTGTCCCAGAAAACTGCGTTGAATATAGATAAATGAAAAAAGGAATCTATTCGTTAATTCTATGTTATCAATATTAATATAAAATACCTAGAAATCTTTGTTAGACTTTGGTGAAAAATATTTACACGCTTTTATTTATTTAAATGTTGTCAATGTTAATATCAAACGCTATTTTTTGTAAAACTTGAAACTTCATCTGTCTAATTTTATCAGTTGAGTTGCATAAACGCTGCAGAAAGTTGATTACGATCTATTTGTTTCGTAATTATTGGTAATAACAGCAGATTCTGATGAATACCCCGATTTGAGGTAGCATATTTAATTAATATACAAGGCGTTAAAAAACCGATTGTTTGAATAAATGTCGCTTTAATGTTTATTTATAAATCCATTGCTTCTGTTTAAGCAGTGAATCAGATAAGATGACTGATCGCAGCCTGAGCTATAATCGTTTCGTCACGTGTAAAGCGTTAGAAAAAAGACGGCTTTTAGTGAAAACGTACAGAATGCGAAATATTAATAAACGATTTTTTTTTCATTGCCAAATCGGTCAAAAAATAACTTGCATCCCCATGAAGTCACATTATTTTAAAAATTATTGTTACGGTTTAAATATTTAGTTTAGTATTTTTAGTAGAACTGTTATTAAAGTGTTTCAATTCTCCGTGCAATGCTGCGCGCGACAGAAAGCTACGCCGAAAAAGTAAAAATACAGGAGTACGCGTATTTAACATTTAACAAATAGATATCTCGTAATTGCACTCTTTTGCTTATCCAGAAAAATCAAGAAAATAACAGAATGTTCTCGTGCATGATTAAAAAGCTTTAAAAACCCGGACATCTCAGTTAAGTTGTTTACTTAGTTTTTATTTGTTGATTGTAGCGAATTCGTGGTGAGATCGGATTTGCTTTCTCTGCTTTGATTTAACTCCTATTTATCGTTTTAATAGTTGAAAATACACCTTCTGTGAGATATTATGATATTGTACGAATATCTCTGAGGAAATTTTAGCATTTTATTTCTATTTCTAGGGATAATAATAAATTTTATTAATTTTTTATCGACTTGTGCATTCAGTTTATTACGAATACTTACGCACGCAACATTATTAGTGAAATTGTTTGAGACCTAACACCAGTATTTTAAGGATACCAATGTATCAAGTTTTTCAAATGTGTATTTCTAAAAGATTGCTTTCAAGATTACCAAATAATATTTCAGAAGCACTGGTTTCAAATGCCGATTCAGAGAAACGTTAAAATCTGACATTTTTTAAGCTTTTAGATTATGGTAGTTTTGTCTTTTCAGAACTATCATTATCTAAAAAGACAAAACTACCATAATCTAAAAGCCTACTTTATTTGAGTTTCATCATAAATATGACCCATGGGTCTACGACCGATATCTTATTAGATGCTGAGATGTGAAATCTTGAAATATTCAGTATAATGCCCGGTTGTTCAAAATATTTGACCCTATTTCAAATACGTATATTTTTAAAACTCACTACCGCAAAGTAATGCATGAAGTAAAAGAAAAACTATCTAAGTTTTATTCTTACAGATTCTGTGCAAATTCTTTCAGCATCATCAATATAATAACTAAACTTGTATAATTTTTCCACTAACGTCTCTTTCGTTTTTAACATCACAGAAGTAACAATGTGCATACAAAAATCATGACTTCCTCAAAAGCTGTTAGAAAGCATTTTCTTTTTAAGGTACTCCTTAAAACAGTATCGCATAAAATCCCGTGATATAGGAAACAAATTTAGAAAAATGAAATCATCCAAACCTTTAAACACTCATTCAACGCCGCAAACAAAGCAGTGCATTAGGAACATTATGGTGTTCTACTAAATTTTTGATGACATTCTAAATTTTAACTTGATGTTCCTCTTTGACATTTATCAGATGAATTCGCTGTTTGCTGTAGTAACAAAGGAATTATGCTACTATGAACAGGGGCCATTGATTTTGAATAACCTTGAGTTTTATATAATAGTTCCTTAAACATTTTGTTTTACTTGATTAAGGAATTTTCCAGTTTTTCATATAAAATGGCCAGTCGGACATCCACATGCTAAACTCTAAATGGACTGGCGCGCCTCGTCTTCAGTGCAGAGATATTCGTATAGTAAATTTAACATTAAGTGTTTCAGTGCTGACATTAACATAACATTACATAACTTCATAATTAACTTAAAGCAAACTACATGTTTTCAAATGTAAATTAGAATTCTTTCTATTTTAAACATTTTGCATTAAAATCCTTGCTTACACTATACTAAAATCTCTGCGTCATATATAAATTATAAATGACATGCAAAATGTACTTAAAACGGAAACATTTTATCGTTTCAAATATTAAAGTTTCTTATATAAATTGCAGTTATATTAAAATCTCCTACTGCTTATTTCAGTGTTGCAAAAATTAAAATATAAACCAATTTCAAATTCCTAATATTAAATTATATGTTAAGAAATCTGATATAATACAGATTTGCAGTCACGTAGCTATTAACTGCGGTATAAGTAATGAAATTTTGAAGAGAAATCAGTGCCTATTGAAATTCAAATTTCGATTTAAAGTAATAATTAATGTTTATCAACGCGAGTCAAAACTTTTCTCTAAATTTCTATGAGGAGAAGAATGTGGATAAGAAAATTCCCTTTGACAATGTGTCTTAAATATTTTTAGACAGTTTATTTGATATGTTAAACAATTTATGAGTCTGAAACATTGTTTATATATTCTTTTCTTTACTTTATGTTTTCTTTTAGAATAAATGATTGATAATGTCCTATTTTAAAAATCGTATTAGACCCGAACTTTTCCAACAAGAATATGAAGGGGTTTGAAACATTTTCTTATTGAATTTTATTTGCTTTAATTTATTGTTTCTGGCACAAGACATTTGGAAATATCTTCCATGATATTTCAGCTATTTTTGATGTCTATTAATTGTATTAAGTGAAATATTTTTAAATTCAATCTTTCACTCCAGTCGAAATAATGACAGTTTAAAGATGACAGAGCATCATTTTACATGAATACTTTATTTATAGTTTCACACTAATCTGTTCACTAATAAGCTAAATAACTAAATTATTTAGCTGTAAACATCTCCAATATTATTACTAGCATAGAGGAATCCTTATGAATCCTTCGCCTTTGGATTGATTGTTTTATAGGTGAAAGTGACGTAAATTATTTAAATTTGTCATTTCATAAAATTTCTCATCATAATTTAGAGTTTTGATACATAAAATATTCGTTCACTTGATGTCTCACATACTGATTAGACTTTAGATGCAAAATAAGCATAAATTAGATTACGACTAGCATTTTATTTTTCATATTTCTAAGGCAGTCACAGGTTTCGAAATATGAATAATAACATTTTGTAACATATAATAATATATTATAGCATTTTAATATATACTTACCTGAATTCAACAAAGCCATCTCTGATTGCCAGAGATACAAAATCCCCTGTTCCAGTGGCTGTCTGCCCGTTATAGAGTAATATTCCATCTTTTGCAAATGTTCGGAATTCCAGTTCTAAGGAAAGACGTGTGTAGGCTTGAAGTCGAGGGAGTTCCAAATAGGAACGGCCGTAAAAAGACGGAGTTTCAATAAAATTTTCTGAAAAAGAAAATTTAGTGGCTTTAATATTAATTTACAATAAATAGAAATTCATCGAGCCTTGCTTTACCATATTTTTTTTTTCAGTTGCTCTTGAACCTATATAGTTTAAAACAATGTTTAAACTGCATAGGTAAAATAAAGTTTCCAAGAGAAGAGATTAAAATAAAATAAGTTTTACATAGTTTAAAAGCAATGTTGGCATCTCAAGATGTCATTTATATAGCTATGTGCAATAGTTTTTCAGCAAAAAGAATTTGCTTAAATAGTATATTGATATTGCATTTAAAAATGAAATTCTAATTTAATGCTATTATATAATGATTCTTTAATACAGTGTGAGTCTTTTAACGCCGTATGCTTAACATCATAATGATTATATGCATACATTAATACTGCATTTTTAATACAGTTATGGTAATATGTTGCATATTTTGTGCCAGAAAATGTCTTTAGGAAGATGAATTTTCGATAAGCTTGTAGAGTCTCATTTTCTTTAGAAGCGTAATCTAACTTGAGATTCTGGAAGACGTAAGCGAATTATCGCTATGTCTTGAAAATTATAACAGAGATGTAATAGAGATGTAAAAGGCCCTTTTATTAAACTCAGTAAACTAAGAGAAGGCGCTGCTTGTACTTAAGAACCAGCCAGCATTTATGACGTAACTCAAAACTATTAAAATCAGAATTAACTAAGCTACCTTATTTAAACATTCGCTAACTAAAATTAGCATTCTATCAAGGAAACGGAAAGCGAGAATGACAGAAAAGCTGCTGAGCATAAAGTAATTGGTTAGTTAAAAATAAAGAGATTTTTAGAAGGTACAAATACAAATATAAATGTGAGTAACTTCTCGAATGTCAAGAATGGTAACATTCCAAGAAAGCTACATGCTCTTGTATTTCTATATTTTCAGTGATTTACAGAAAGTATAAGAAGCAACTGCACGTCGAAGTAACACTGATGAATAATTCCATTAAGTATAATCTGCTTGCTATTAAATCCTGGAAAATCATTATTGAAACATGAGGAAATTTTACTCTGAGAAAACGCTAATAAAATCCAGAAAATTTATCGCACTTCAAAATTTTACCTAAATGTACCCATAATTTAGTGAAAGATAAGCAAAATATTTTATAAACTGTTAGAAAAAGAAAGCAAAGTTAGTTGCTTAACTAAAAATTTAGAATGAAGTCAGAAATATTAGGCAAAAGCTGATATCTGACTAAAAATGTTAAGATAATAATTTAAGTAAATTTTCGCTGTTGTATAAGTCAATTATTTTTTTCAAACATATAGTAAAACCTCTATTGCCGAAACATTATTTAATTTAGTTAACTGAATTTAGGAAATCTTGTTTGTATTGATGCCAGCCAAGATTCATAAAAAAGTCTTGAAACAAGACAGAAACTTAATGAGCGAAATGTTTTATTCTCGAAATGTCTAGTATTTGATAACTTGGTTCTCACATACCTAAGCGTTTTCATGGTCATTTTTCTCATATAAACCTATCTTAACTTGCTTCAGCATCTTTCAGTGTGTATTTTCTGTTTTAGTCTTTAGGATGCAAAATATTAAATTACTGCCTGGACACTTCAGACTTCTATTTAAAGCCTCGAATAATTTAACGTTAAAGTTTCAAAAGAGGGAAAAAAGTTTCATAATTTAAAGAAAATATAAATCATGAAATTTAAAAGATTTTAATGAAATATTTCAATGCTGATTCCAGTTTAACGCCTAAATTAATTTTAAGGTAAACATTTACAAACTGCCTGCTAATTTAAATTTTGATCCCACTGGAATTCAAGAAATACAACATGAAATCCTTTATTTGCAAGGTTTAGGTTAATTAACCTATTATCTTATTATCTGAACTATACTACCGCCAGGATCTAAATGACATACGTGCATATAAGAACAGTGTTCTTGAAAGTTAGGGAGAACTTTGGCCGTGACGCTGCCAGTTTCCCTGTCTATTAGGCTGCCAGTTTCGATATCTAGTAGACTGCCACAATAGACAAATAGCGATTTAGTCACTGGCACTAGTATCTAATACCTTTGAATAATCTTGAATAATATTGAACTGCGTGTACAACACTGATAGTCCTATAGCATGTATATAAAAGTATTATTTAACGAAACTGTATCATGCCAATTATCTGTATTATGTTAACTAACTGGACTGTACAATGGAATTAGTATTATCTGTATCTGCATATATTTATATCTTCTGTACGTTATATCATTTATCTCGTATCATCCTGTATCATGCAAACTATTCAACACCCTGTATCATGTATTCTGACATCCGCATATATTATCTCGTATCATCCTGTATCATGTAACTTATTCATTCAACTTATCATGCGCCTTGTATCAAGTATTCTGGCATTAGCATAAATTTGTACATTTCCAGCACCTAGTATCATGTATCTCTCAAAATCTTAGTTATGTAACTTATTCTGGTTTCACTATAATGTATCCTGGCATCTGCATATATAATCTAGTATCATCCTGTAGCATGTAACATATTCTGCACCATGTATCATGTATTTTGGATCTTGGTATCTGCCTATATTAGTATCTTCTGCACCTTGTAACACATACCTTGTAACATTCTACAATACGTAACCTATGTTGTAAAATGTAACCCTGTATGTTTAGCAAATATCTCGTATCATCCTGTAATATGTTTCATATATCTCGTATCATCTTTTAATATGTAACCTATTTTGAACCTTCTTTTCTTAAGTATGTGTATGTCACCTTATGCATGTCGTATTTGTTACCTTACGCATCTACTGCACCTTATGTTCTACGTATCATGCATCCTAGCATCTGCCAATATCTGTATCTTCTGCATATTGTAACATATATCTCGCATAACCCTGTATTATGCATCTTATTTCGCCCCTTCTACCATGTATCCTGGCACTTATATCACTCTGCACCTCGTATTATTTATCTTGGCATTTGCATATATATGTATCCACAACATCTTGTATCATATATCTCGCAACATCCTGTAACATGTAACTGATTCTTCACCTATATATCTTATATTCATAAGTATGTGTACGTCACCCAATGTATGCCACCTTAGATATGTTCTTGTGAATGTCTCCTTATACATTTCATGCACCCCATGTTCCTACGTAAGATGTATTTAGGCATCTGAATATATATGTATCTTCTGCACAGTCTATCTGTAGCCACCGTATGTTCTTATGTATCACGTATCTAGGCAATAGATAAAGGTGGACGTGGCGCTATACCTATTAACCGTATTGGTAGAGGGATGTTGTCCACGTCCTCTGTCGCCTGTCGCATGTCTATTAGGCCGCACTAGGTCGGGAGCCGTCTCGTTCCAGCTCTGATAATTACTCTATCCAGTTTTCGCCAACCGAGTTAGTCACGTAGTTAGATAGACCTGAACAAGCTTTCGCATTTGTAAGTCTAGCTTTCGCATTTGTAAATCTCTAAATTTAAATTACTTTTTTAAAGTTAATTCATATTTTGCGTCATCTGAAATCGCAAAGGCGGCGTAGAATAAATTGTGAACGCAAGCCATACGGCTTGCGTTTGTTAAGCCACAAATAAAAAGGGTTATTTAAAACTTCTTCTGTGTTTGTAAATGTTTTCATAAACGGGGGATAAGTTGCCTGTTCCACTTAATAAATAGTTTCATTAGAGAGCAAATAGTTAATCCCGTGTGAAACTTTTACCTATTTAAAACAAGCCATTTAAATAGCAATGCCAAATAGTCAGAAAACGCTTCATGTCTTATTATTCAGTTAGAAATTATCTTCATAGGAAGATTTATGCTTTTTATTTTATTTACGAAATCTCTTAAATACTCAAGATGCAGCAGTGCTTTGGCCTCACTATGTGAACGAGGCTACTCAAGCGGCAACTATATTTTTTATTAGGACAAAAAATCAGCATTCCGTGGATAATAAACAATTTTGAAGACTTTCCTTCGAAGTGTTTAAAAATCTGTTTTATGAGCATATTATTTCTAATTATGGTATCCAATCTCAAAAGATTGCTTCAGTTAAGATATTGCTTTGATTAAAAACAAGTTAATAATTATACATTTAAAAATATCTTTGGAGACAAAGGCATTCGCTGTGGATTATAATGGGAAAATCGACAATCATGTGTGCAAATTTATTTTCCGCTTATTTTCTCAAGTAATTATAAATTGCCAAAATAGACATTTGAAAATAAATTTCAATTCAGTTCAACTAAGTAATGCATGTCTAAACATAATGCTTTACTTGAAGTTGTTACACAAAAAATTGTAGGCAAACCGATTACTCAAACAAATCGATCATATATATCTCAACTTCTTCTTTATCTACTCAGTTCGGATAATCGGAGATCTGCTATATTTAAATTCAACTTTTCTTTTCTCTGTCGCGTTAATGGAAAACTGCGTTACAGGATTTAAGGATAATGATGCAAACATTTATTTAGCTTAGCTTGTTTCCAAATTTGCGCTAAAATTAATGGCATAGCAACGACAAAATCCCATTTTAAAATAATAGCACTAAAATGAAAACCTACAACAAAAGAGATACATAATTCGTATATCTCTATTTTTAATATATTAATTTTCCTTATCCGTAAATTCTAACGGCAGCAGTTTTCATCCCCGTTATTTATTCTCTTTAGCTATTCCCCAACTTACTTGTGTCTCATCTCATTTAACAATGCAGCAGTTTCGGTGGAAAACCGAGAATAAACAAATCCCTCATCAAGAATGTTGCGGATACACTTAAACCCCGGAAAAACACAAACTAGGATCGTCTATTAAGGATACTTATCCCCTGTTTCTCTTTTTATGCCACTTAGTTTGTCTATGACGTCCTTTGTAAAGCTATTCAATGCAATTGGAAGACGCGATAAATCTAATCCTTTTCCCCCTCTAGAATTCGAGGATCTTTATCTGAAAAATCTGACGATGTAATAAGGATTGCTCGCAGCATTTTTACCG